TCACGTATTTAGGGCTGTGCTGGGGTCTCTGTGGCTGCACGTGGCCTTTCTCGACGTGCGGCGAGCGGGGGCCCCTCTTCCTCGTGGTGCTCCGGCTGCTTCTTGTGGTGGCTCCTCTTACTGCAGAGCATGGGCTCCAGGGTGTGCGGGCTCGGCAGTTGTGGCGCAGGCACTTCCTTCCCCGCAGCATGCGAATCTTCCGTGTCCCCTGTATTGGCAGGTAATTCTTAACCAGCTCTGACTGCCCATATCGGAGGACTGTGGGAAAGCAGTTCAGTGACTTCACGACACCTAAGAGTGGAGTGGTTGAGATCTAATGCTTTCCATAAATCTCTCAGTTGATTTAATTTCCTTCTACTGAATCCTTATCCAGGCTAGAGTCAAAAAAAAGAGCCAGATGCTGGAAATCCAAGGGTCAGCTTATCTTTTGAGCAAATGTTTCAGCTCTTCCACCACTATTGAGTAGCAATGAAGCAAACTTTATGTTAGTTACAGGTAATGGAGCAGAGAATAATTTGCCTACAGTTTAACGAGGTGAAAATAACTAATTAATTATTTTTACTTGGAGTATTAACTACAGCTAAAGATCCTGACAAGCACCACCAGGATTTGTGAACAGTATATGGATCAGATATTACAGGGAAGTTGAAAAAAGAGAGATGGTTTCTCATATGGGCTTCCTTTGCTTCCTTCTTGGAAATGAAGTCAGGAAAGTGGAAGTCGTAGTCTTGGAGGGCTTCAGGGGACAGACATCCAGGACACAACCTCTGGTCCAGCCCACTGATGCCCATGAGCGTGGAATTTGGGAAGGGGCAGATGGACTAGAGGTGCCAGAGGCATCTGGCACTTCTTTTCACTCTATGCTGGATAGGGATTCAGTAGAAGCTCACAGTTCACACAGCCAACACCGAAGGGACAGACACAGCAAGAGCTCGTCCGTGTCAGCAGAGGGCGCTCTTTCCTAACAGACGGGCCTGACTCTGGAAGACCGCGCTGAAGGAGGAAGGCTCAGGCAGAGTAAGAAGTCGATTAGCCCTTTCTCCCAGCCAGAGGGGGTCCAGGGTGCCTTATTCAGAGCTGGGACAGTGGCCACCTATGTGGTGCAGCCGGCGGGACTACCTGATGCTGGAATAGTCATAGCCTTGGGCTCTTGTCTCTTGCTCTGGCATTTATTTTATAAATAGGTATTGAGTGCCACCCATGTGTTAGCTGTGCATACAGAAGAGATGGATGAAGAGGTGGTATTTTATGGTGAATAAAAGACTGGGGTCTGAAATACGGTGCCTGGGTTAGAGACACAGGTCTGCCACTTCCTGTGTGATCCTCGGTAATGTACTTAATCTCTCTGGGCTCAGTTGTCTTCTCTGAAATGGCAAAGCTGAGAAGAGCGCTGACTCAGGGTTATTCTGGGAGTTAAATAAACTAACACAAATAAATTCTTTGAACACTGCCTGGCACGCATAAGCTCCTCTTAAATGCTGGCTATTAGTCTTGTTCTCGTGAGGCTCACACTGTAGTGAGTCTGTCAAAAAATATTTATAGAGCACTCTACCATATTTCAGGGACTGTGTCAGGTGCTGGGGATGCAGTGGTGAAGACAAATGTGATAGTACCTATACAGAACTTATAATCTAACTGGTAAAAAAAAAAAAAAAACCTCATACATAAAACGGTTTCCTCTCTCTAGCCCTCAGTTTTCTTCATCTAGAAAGGGAAGGGATCAGCTGGATCGAAGGGCCTGGATGGTGGCAGACTGGCTGCCATCATGATAACAGTGTCCTCAATTCCAGCTGGCAGTTCAAAACATCCATCGTGGGGAGGCTCCACTGACTCCTTGCACATATCAGCAGCCGCTATGGTCTCCCATGATGCTTTTAGGGTGAGCATCGTCTTTCCACCCACATAGATGGGAATCCTTGATCAAGTTGAACTCTTAAGATTTGTTCTTTTCTTTACAAAAATAATTTTTACTGTAGTATAGTTGCTTTATAATGTTGTTGGTTGCTACTGTACAGGAAAGTGAATCAGCTGTATGTACACACATATATCCTCTCTTATTTGAATTTCCTTCCTGTTTTAGCACAATACAGAAATTTGAGTAGTTCCCTGTTCTATATGTACAGTAGGTTCTCATTAGTTACCTCTTTCGTACATAGTACCAATAGTGTGTGTCTCTATGTCTCTATATCTGCTTTGCATGGAAAGATTCTTTCTAACTTCAATATTCAGATTCTATGAAAATGTCTTCCCTTTGGACTTTGCTAGCAGGTCTAGAATCCCTTTGTTCTTTCTCTGTCAAAATGCAGCTGTTACTTGTGCAGGGTGTTATCTTTTGCTGTGATTTCAATTGATCAGATGTGAGTTGCCAGTGGCCATAGGTTATGTGGACACAGGCACTGTGAATAGTGATGTCCTGGAAGACATCATAATAGAGTACCTCTGGGTCCTGGCTGTTACAGCTCAGCTGAAAGTGACACTGGCCGGCTGCTTCTGAGTGACAGCTGAACAATCAGCTGGGGTAGAAAGCCTTGGATGGACAATGGCAGCTCTGGTTGTGATTTTCAGAGTTTCTGGTTGATCTGTCCCTTGTCCGACTTGAAAAATGCTGTTGTCTGTATTGTCTGAACTGTCCTCACAAAGCAGCATAAAGCTCTGAAATGACATCTGTGTGGACAGAAGTTGGGTAGGATGATGGATTTTTTGAAATGCTGGCAGTTATATAAAAGACACCGAGTGTTTCCCTTTCACTCATGCAGGCTACTATGTATAAACTTCTCGGAGGGACCAGTTCTCTCCAAGATGTCTCATACATCTGAGAGATTAATTGCTTTGATCAAGTACAGGATACACAGGTAAAATCTGATGGGGTTCCTGGTTGTTCTTAGTTATGAAAAAGAGACCATGGTGCCCACTTTTTGTTGACCCACACCAAAGCAGCCTTGATGTTCAGATTAGATGCCCAATTGCCTAGAAAATCAGCAAATCTTGTTTTTTAAAAATTGAAGTGGAGTTGCTTTACCATGCGGTGCCAGTATAAATCAATGAACCTTCTGAGTGTGCGCTGTGCTGGTGCCTTCGTCCCATGGCAAAATGTGGGTTAAGGTGTAATGACAGCCATCAGGGCTGGTGGACTCAACAGTTCTGGCCTGAGCTTGGGAAAAGTGTGTCTTCCATGTTCTCAAGAGCCTCATCAGCCTATCTGCTCTTTGGACTCTCCATATACCTACCAACGGGGTATTGGTAAAATAGGACTCACAGGGCTTCTTCCTTTTTTAAGAGATACTTTGTTTTTTCATTTTAAATTAATTTTTATTGGAGTGTAATTGCTTTACAATGTTGTGTTACTTTCTACTACACAGCAAAATGAATCAGCCATACACACACACACACACACACACACACACACACACACACACATATATATATATATATCCCCTCCCTTTTGGACTTCTGTAATAATGCAGGGAATTCTGCTTAATGAACTGTGGCAACCCGAATGGGAACAGTGTTTCCTAATTATTGGAGTGTAATTGCTTTACAATGTTGTGTTACTTTCTACTACACAGCAAAATGAATCAGCCATACACACACACACACACACACACACACACACACACACACACACACATATATATATATCCCCTCCCTTTTGGACTTCTGTAATAATGCAGGGAATTCTGCTTAATGAACTGTGGCAACCCGAATGGGAACAGTGTTTCCTATCCTCTTATCAACCTTCAGAGGTTTCACCAACAAACAGTCCCTAACTGTGGCATTCAGTGCCTTTGATCAAGTCAAGTTCAAATCTGCCTGTCCAACGTCTCTGTCATTTTGCTCATCGACCTCTGTATCTGTCAGCTCAGGATGTCATGTAGAATACCACAGACTGGGTGGCTTAAACAATAGAAATTAATTCTGTCACACTTCTGGAGGCTGGAAGTCCAAGATCAATGTGCCAGCAGGGTTGGTTTTTCCCAAGGTCTTTCTTCCTGACTTGCAGGTGTGACCTTCTCACACACCCTCACAGGGCCTTTCCTCTGTGCAAACACACTCCTGGTGCCTATTCTTCTCTAAGGACACCAGTCATATTGGATTCAGGTCTCACACTCATGACCTCATTTAACTTCAATTACCTCCTTAAAGACCCAATCTCCAAATACAATCACACTGGGGTTAGGGCTTCAATATATGAATGGGGAGGGACACACAATTCCGTCCATAACAACCATAAGCACTCTGGGACCTTTAATATATATATATATATTTTTTTTCTCTTGCTAATTCAAAGTGCTACTATCCTTTTCCTTATTTCCCATCTACTGAACTTTTACTTGCCCAATTTATTTTTAGAGAGAAAAAATATCTTTATTCTTTCTTTATTTTATTTTTTGACTACACCACATAGCATGCAAAATCTTAGTTCCCTGACCAGGGTTGTAGCCTATACCCACTGCCATAAAACACCGAGTCTTAACCACTGGACCACCAGGGAAGTCCCTTATTTACCCAATTTAAAGCTCCTCTACCAGCTGGGGAGACAGATCTTAGTGTGAACCTTAGCCCACCATCTCTAGCTAAAAGATTTTGAACAGTATATCTCTTACTTTATGAAATAGAAAGAACGTAATCTTTACAGGGCTGTTCTGATGGTTAAAAGTCATAATGCTGGTAAAGTGACTTTACTCGGCAGGAGCATTAAACAGGCCTCTAAGAGAGTGAGTCTTAGTAATTTTATAAAACTTTCATAAAATTCACCATCTGTAATGAAAGATTCTACTTATGTCAGAATACTGGCATTACGGAGGCATCTTTACACGTAATGTGTCTGATGCTAGATTGTGAAATTCCCTCAGAGTGAAGAATTATGTCTGACTCATCTTTCTCTCTCTCTATAGCTTTGGTCATGCATATTGTAGTATTAATACTATGATAGAAATTTTCTAACAACAGCTCCAAAGAGTTTGCCGTTGATAAGTTAGTTCTGAACACAACAATAGAAGTTTAGCACTGAAAACATTGCTTTCCCTTTGAGTGTCTATTCAGCTCAATTTGCTTGCAAAGTCATAAGGAACAGGAATCTGTTGAAGAATGTCTTCCTCATTCTCTCCTTTGGCATAGGGAGAAGGTAGGTCTGTTCAGGGCAGCTCCAGCATCTAAGAACAGAAGCCAGTGGTAGTGATGGCCAGCCTGACACAAATGGGCAGCTTCAGTTAATACGACCTCTGCAAAAACTGAGAAGCAAGGTGTGTTTTCAGGAGAAGTTTCCTCTGCTCAGCCTCTGCTTGCTTATGTTGTCATCCATGCTAGGAAAAAGAAGGAGAGAGAGGTGTTTTGAGATTGATTTTTCTTGACTTGCTCACTGAAAACAACTCTGTGAGAGAGTGGAAGTTCTCAGGAAGATTGAGGGGTGTGGGTCAGATATCTGATCACTGGGAAGGCAGAGTTTCAGTCAGCTTCCACCTCAACACACCAAAGTGTCCTCTCGTGCAGAGTGGAAGTGTCGGTGATCAGTTATGTGAGTCAAGGGTGGAGATTCATGTTCCCCAAAGGGACTGTGTTCTGTGGGTTGGAGGGGTTCAATAGCCTACTCTGCAGTTTCCATGGGGCTTGGAGCTCACAGGTCTGAGCTAGCAGGGACCACACATAGACTCCCTGATCTAAGAGAGAACCTCAGCCTCTGTGCTGGTGGGAACACTTTTCTAGGAGGGACAGTGATATAGGAAATAGGGGATAACTATGATGAAGAGAAACTGACAAGAGTCTAGACTCAAAGATAATGACAAATGCTGTCCTTATTGATTGGAGGCAAGGAACAGGGAAGGAAAGGAATGAAGAGAAGGCCACCAGGGCAAGTGAGAGAACATGTAAATCTACAACAGAAATAGGACATGAGGAAGGACACTAATTCTGTAGAAGAGACTTTTGATTCTAGATGTCTTAAGTTGGTGGTGCTAGTGGTAAAGAGGGCTTCCCTGGTGGCTCAGAGAGTAAACAATCTGCCCACAATGAGGGAGATCTGGGTTCGATACCTGGGTTGGGAAGATCCCCTGGAGGAGGGCATGGCAACCCACTCCAGTATTCTGGCCTGGAGAATCCCCATGGACAGAGGAGTCTGGCAGTCATGTCCATGGGGTCACAAAAAGTAAGACATGACTGAGCGACTAAACACAGCACAGCACATCAGCCTATTGTGGTTAGATATGAGGTGGTTATGAGTAAGCTTTAAATTGAATGAACAGGAAATTAAGTCGAGAGGAGACTTTAATAATAGGTTGAGTCATACATTCCAGAAATTCATGTGTTGAAGTCCTAGCCCCTATCTCAGAAGGTGACTGTACTTAGAGATGGGACCTTTACAGAGGCAACGAAGTTAAAATGAGGTTATTAGGGTGGGTCTGACTGGTGTCCTAGAGGACAGTGGGACACAGACACAAACAGAGAGAGAAGACCATATGAAGACACATGAAGCCCACGGCCACCTGCAAAACAAGCAGAGGAGCCGCAGAAGAAATCAACCCTGCCAACACTTTGATCTTGGACTTCCAGCCTCCAGAATTGTGAGAAAGTACACTCCTATTGTTTAACCCACCCAGTCTGCGGTGCTTTGTTACAGTAGTCGTAGTAAATGAGTACAAGACCAAATATAATTTACCCATCACTATCTTTTCTGGATCCAAAGAAAATCAGAATATCAGTAGCATGGAAGTTGATCACAGTGAATGCAGGCACAGTACCTCTCGGGGCCAGCAATTAATGTGGGAACCTATAAGATCTCAAAGGAGTAGTTTTCAGTTTGTCTGAACATTAGAATCACCTGGAGAATAAAGTGAATTAAAAAAACCTCAATTCCCAGACATCACGACAGACTCTTCAAGAATTTGGATGGGGGATCCAGGCATCCATCCCTTTTAAAGTTCCTTAGAGATTCCAGTGTGCAGCCAAGATGACACCAATGATCTCGTGAGATATACGTCCACCACAGGTCAGGGAAACAGACAGCATGTCTGAAACTCCCTAAGGCAGTGGAGGCCTGGCCATGCTGGGAAGGCCACAGGACCCGGGAACTCTGTGAGACACAGAAGACTCTTGGGTTGGCCTGAGGACGGTACTTGGAAGGCCCAAGATGTGAGGAACAGTTTTAGGTGATACAGGACATACTCCTTTGTTCCCCAGAATGTAGTGAACCGCTTTTTTTTTTTTTTAAAGAAATATTTATTTATTTGGCTGAACCAGGTCTTAGTTGCAGCATCCAAGATCTATTTTTTCCAGTATTTGGGATTGCTGATTTTTGTTGTGGCAGGCAAGATCTTTAGTTGCAGCATGATGTGGGATCTAGTTCCCTGACCAGAGATCGAACCATGGCCCCCTGCTTTGGGAATGAGGAGTCTTAGCCACTGGACCACCAGGGAAGTCATAACAATTCATTCTTAGTATCTGACAACCCCAAAGTCCTGATCTTACATTCAGAGGAATCACCGCTAGAACTCTCATGAGGAATTTCAGAAAGAATTCTGTGCAACCATTCTAATGTCACATTTCCATGAATTCCACATGGTGATCTTCCCAGTGCCCTTCAATACTTTATCACCATCACCACAAGTAACATCAGTAGCACCTAGGAGCTAGCTAGCAATCTCATGGGCTCTGCCATGTAAACTAGCTATGTCTGGTCTCTGGGTCCTCCTTGAAATGTTCTCATGACTCCTCTAGCGACAATAACTTTAGTTTGGAAAGTATTGGTTGAGATGAATTAATGGAAATGTACTTCTCATAGTGACATTTACCCACCCCTTAAAACATTGTCATGACCATTCCCAGCTGCACAGAATCACTCTCTCTCACAACAGTTCACTCCCTGGAAGTACCAAGGCTCCTCACACCATATCTCTGCCTGCGGTGCACCAGGAGAATTCAGTGTTGTCTTACACTCAGAAGATATGAACAAGCATCTCTCAAGCCCTTACCCCTGCTCTGGGTAGAGGATGGAATGGGACTCAGTGATCACTCTAGACTTGGGGCTCAGTTCAATTCAGTTCAGTTCAGTTACTCAGTCGTGTCCGACTCCTTGCAACCCCATGAATTGCAGCACACCAGGCCTCCTTGTCCATCATCGACTCCAGGAGTTTACCCAAACCCATGTCCATTGAGTTGGTGATGCCATCCAACCATCTCATTCTCTGTCGTCCCCGTCTCCTCCTGCCGTCAATCCCTCCCAGCATCAGGGTCTTTTCCAATGAGTCAATCTTCGCATGAGGTGGTCAAAGTACTGGAGTTTCAGCTTTAGTATCAGTCCTTCCAATGAACACCCAGGACTGATCTGCTTCAGGATGGACTGGTTGGATCTCCTTGCAGTCCAAGGGACTCTCAAGAGTCTTCTCCAACACCACAGTTCAAAAGCATCAATTCTTCGGCGCTCAGCCTTCTTCACAGTCCAACTCTCACATCCATACATGACCACTGGAAAAACCGTAGCCTTGACCAGACAGACCTTTGTTGGCAAAGTAATGTCTCTGCTTTTTAATATGCTGTCTAGGTTGGTCATAACTTTCCTTCCAAGGAGTAAGCGTCTTTTAATTTCATGGCTGCAATCACCATCTGCAGTGATTTTGGAGCCCAAAAAAATAAAGTCTGACACTGTTTCCACTGTTTCCCCATCTATTTCCCATGAAGTGATGGGACCAGATGCCATGATCTTAGTTTTCTGAATGTTGAGCTTTAAGCCAACTTTTTCACTCTCCTCTTTCACTTTCATCAAGAGGCTTTTTAGTTCCTCTTCACTTTCTGCCATAAGGGTGGTGTCATCTGCATATCTGAGGTTATTGATATTTCTCCCGGCAATCTTGATTCCAGCTTGTGCTTCTTCCAGCCCAGCGTTTCTCATGATGTACTCTGCATATAAGTTAAATAAGCAGGGTGACAATATACAGCCTTGACGTACTCCTTTTCCTCTTTGGAACCAGTCTGTTGTTCCATGTCCAGTTCTAACTGTTGCTTCCTGACCTGCATATAGGTTTCTTAAGAGGAGGTGAACACAAGGCGTCACAGATTGATTTTACAGGGAAGCAGACCCTGATATGGAAATTAACATACAGGAAATTTATAAGTGAGTGATCTCAGGATCAAAATTGCCAGAGGGAGCAAGGTTGTAAGAGGGAGCAAGCTTGTATCAAGGGAGAAGCTGAAGCTGGCTCCCCTTTTTAAAAAATTGAGATGTAGTTGCTTTACAATATTGTGTTAGTTTCTGCTGCACAACGAAGTGAATCAGCTGTTTATATACACTCATCCCCTCCCTCTCCACCTCCCATTCCAGTGATTTAGGCTATCCCCTGAGCTCCCTGTGACAAACCACAGCTTCCCACTAGCTATCCATTTTTAAAAAATATGTATTTTTAATTGAAGGATAATTGCTTTACAGTGTTATGTTGGTTTCTGCTGTATAACAACACAAATCAGTCATAACTATGATCATATATGTCCCCTCCCTTTTGAACCTCCCCACATCCCACCACTCTGAGTCATCAGAACGCCAGGCTGGGCTCCCTGTGTTATATAGCGGCTTCCCACTAGCTATGTATTTTCCATATGGTATTGTATATATGTCAGTCCCAATCTCCCAGTTCATCTCACCCCTTCCTTTTTTTTTTTTGAAGTCACTCACAAAGTCCGACTCTTTGCAACCCCGTGGACTGTAACACACGAGGCTCCTCTGTCCATGGGATTCTCCAGGCAAGAATAATGGAGTGGGTTGCCATTTCCTTCTCCAGGCACCCCTTCCATTTGAAGCAACCTTTACAGAGGTCTCTACCAACTCCCTTAAATAGCTTGGACTAGGGTGTTCTCTCAAAGTGGCCTTAAGCTGGAGTGAAGGGGCCTTGTTTCTACACCCCAGTGTTGATTGGCCATTGGATACATTACTAGGGGAAAGAAAAGTGATCATGAGTACAGTGGCCAAAGCACTTTCCCAGAGGGCTGATGACTGCAGGCTATCTGCCAGTGGCAATCTCAGCAAGCGAGGGAGTAAGTCCTCCATTCCTGACAGAGAATCTAGGCAGCACATCACAGCATCCGTTACACAAAATCAGAGTTGATTTTAAACATGTATCTGTTACCTCCTTGCTTAGGAACACGTGATCTCCTGATACAAGAATTCATTTCAGGAATTCTGATTTCCCTAGGAGGTCAGGGTGGGCAGTGATAGTGACATTTCTGGGCATGTGTCTGGGGGCTTATTGGGCAGACCTGAGGGGGGATGCTGAAGAACATTGATTCATTTGAAGGACGATCCCAAAGATCATAAATCCCT